CTTTTCACCTTAGTTGTTATTGCTGTTGTTGGAAAGTTTGAGTGGTAATAATATAAAGAACTCTTCTTCTTGTTCTTCAGCTGTGCTTGCTTTTTATGAAAATGATTTGCAGTTGCTTTCATCTTTTGTTTCTATCTGAACTTACTGTTTGGTGTATATAGGCCAAAAATTGCAAACTCATTAAGATTGGTGTTTATCTAGTTTGAAGTTGGATTATCTCCTCTAATTTTTCTGCAGTAAAAGAATTTTACATAGCTAATGATATAAGAGTGAAAAATTGTGAGAAGTCAAACAAGAATCAGAATTTAGTATGATGAATATCAAAATTATTGTATTGAAGATCAATCAACTCAATTGTTATAGAGATTTTGTACATGAGCCGAACTAAATAGCTCGATAATGAAATCGTTTATCAACTGGTACAAGGAAAAGCTGCAAACTGAAACGGTACAACAATTGTGGTAAAAACAGTTTTCCTTAGAAAAGTGATTGCACGGGTCTTGACGAACAAAGAGTCGAGACGCACTTGAACTGTAAAAGCCCAAAATAGAAGCCGTTTTCTTATAGTCAATGCCAAATCCTTAAAGAAAAAGTTTTGAGATAGAAGCTGGAGATCTAAAACGAACCTTAGGTTGCTTATATTTTTCGCGAATGGCCTTAAGCAAACACCCTCGAGTGTTGAGCTGCAACTCTTGCAGTTCTGAAACTGAATTTTTCAGCTCGGTTGTTTTGTACCGTGTATAATGCTCCAAAGTCGAATTCTGAAAAAGGCTAAAAATTAAGGTATATATATATATATATATATATATATAATTTGTATTGAGTTAAAACTTGTAGTAAGGCATAAAATCTTAGGGAAAAAAATAAAATAAAATCAAACCCATGGATGGTTTGACTGATCAAGTGTCCATCTTGCTAGAAAAACAGCAGATGGAGCAATTTGGGATGGTAAGAATTTGAGGAAACTGTACTCTTGTAGTGTTAATTCAGCTAAATAATTCGCCAAGAATTCGAGCTCGGCTAAAGGAGCCTGGAAAAAAATGGGGAGTGCCTGATTTTTAGTGGACTAAAAAAAGGCTTATTTATCGTGAAAACATGATTTCGATTTTTCATCTAACCTCGTACGAAACTTGTGCTGCATGAATGAATCTCCTGTGGACATAAGAGTGAAATTTTTCGAAGCAGAGTAAGTAATACGGGATATTTGCAGAAACCACCCATGAGCTTCTGCTTAATTACAAATATTCACTCTGAGGCATGTATTTTCAAAAGATATAACTGGGCTTTTTCTGTAAGTTACACTGAACATAGGTATCTTTTTGCAATTAACAGATGGGCAGAGGGGTACCTGAGGAACTTCTTTGTGGTGGGAACCGATAAATGAAAGCTCAAACAGTTCAGAACACGACTTTCCATTTTGACAACCTGCGACCAGAAAATGAAATAAAACTGATTATCTCCCGAGATTTCGTGAAACTCACAATAGATAAAATGATAAGAAAAGGATTATATAATGGAAATAAAATAAGATAAAGTCACAAGACTATGGCATACCTCATCTTTCGTGTACGTATTATCAGTAATGAAGCAAAATTCTTCCACAGAGGGAGCATATATTTTTCGTATTTTCTTTAATCAGTACAAAACACCAGATTACAACAAGTAAAACCGAATGGTAGTATAATGGTACAAAAAATTGAAGTAAAAACTTAAAGCAAACTAGATGAAAAAGAAAAAAAAAATGAAAAGGAACTTAAAACAGCTGCATTCTGTGAAAATACATATGTACAATAATCGAAGTCGAGAGAGAGAGAGAGAGAGAGAGAGAGAGAGAGAGAGAGAGAGAGATTACGAAGCAATTAGCATGCAGGTTACTCCAACAAGTTGCAACTTTTGCTTCTCGATGAGATTATGAGATAGGAATCTATCTATAAGATTTATGGTCAAATATAGTGTGTCCGGGGCCATTCTATATTCATCCGAAACCTAGAAAAATCAGAGAAATTGCGCATGAGAGTCCACATAATAAGTCAAGTGCATATAAAAGATTTAAAACAAGAATACTGATAATATTAATTTAATTCTGTGAACTCACCTCAACAAGCCAATCGACCAGAATAGCCCGCATGTCATGATTGATAAATCGCTGCATGCTTTCCATATAATCAAGCGCTGGCCTACAGTTAAGCTGAGACCAAACTTAAAACTCAATAGGGTAAAAAAGAAAGAGAAAAAAAAAATAGCTGCAAATGAATGAACCTTAATCAATAAATGAACTTTTTAACAGCTTAACAAACCTCAGCTGTGTACATGTTATGATATATATCGTCTACATAAGGACTACACAACTGTGGATCCTTGTGTCTTGTATCTATATCAATTATGTCAGTATCATCCGAGTTCTCTTCTTCCTTGCAGAGCTGTGCATTTTCTGCATGATCAGCCAAAAGTTTTTAAATAAGCTTCGTGAGGACAATGATCCAAGATTAATGCTTTTTTTTTGGCCTGTTTGTGTGTGTGTGTGATGGCATTTGAATGAAAATTGTAATGATATTTGATATCTTCAACCCAATGAGGATTACAACATATATATACAAGCCAAAGGAGATGTAAGAAAGGAAAGCAATCAAAAACCTAATCTAAGAGATTTACCAAATCACCTAATTGATACTATCTAATCTATACCATATTTACGATAACACTCCCCCTCAAGCTGGAGCATATATATCAATTATGCCCAGCTTGTTACAAATATTTTTCATTCTTACACCATTTACTGCTTTTGTAAATATGTCCCCTAACTTATCCTCAGACTTGACATATCTTGTAGTTACGAAACCTTCTTCGACCTTATCACGAACAAAGTGGCAATCTATCTCGATGTGTTTGGTCCGTTCATGAAATACAGGATTTGATGCAATGTGGTTTGCTGCTTGGTTGTCACACCAAAGTGTTGCTGGGAGAGCAAATTCTAATCCAAGCTCCTTTAGTAACTGATGTATCCATACGACCTCGCATACTGAATCAGCCATCGTCCTATACTCTGCTTCGGCAACTGAACGAGAAACAACATTCTGCTTCTTGCTTCTCCATGAAACTAGATTGCCTCCCACAAATATACAGTATCCAGAAGTCGATCTTCTATCATTTTTGCAGCCTGCGTAGTCGGCATCACAATATGCTTCTACTGCCTTAGCTTTTGATAACTCTGTCGCCCATAGAACAATCCCCGTCCAGGAGCCCCCTTCAAGTAGCACAAAATTTGTTCAAGTAGTGCCCAATGACTAACGGTCGGAGAAGACATAAATCGACTTGCTACACCAACTGCAAAGGATATATCAGGGCGTGTTACGGTGAGATAGTTTAGCTTTCCTACGAGTCTTGATCACCATCATCCTTTCCTAATTGCATGTTTGGTGTCATCAGAGTGCTGCATGGTTTTGCCCCAACTATTCCAGTTTCTTTAAGAAGATCTAGCACATACTTCCTCTGACAAAGAAAAATCCCTCTCTTACTTCTCATTATCTCTACTTCCAGAAAGTATTTCAAGTGTCCCAAGTCCTTTGTTTGGAAATTCTCATGGAGGAATGATTTTAGGTTTGAAATCCCATCATTATCATTCCCTGTAATAACAATATCATCGACATACACAACCAATAAAATGATCCCAAAACTTGATCGTCTATAGTATACCGAGTGATCGGATTTACATCTCACTAACCCATATTTCAAAACAATCTGGCTAAATCTGTCGAACCAAGCTCGGGGACTTTGCTTCAACCCATATAAAGATTTATGAAGACGACATACCTTCCCATACTCCCCCTGAGCAACAAAACCAGGTGGTTGCTCCATATAAACCTCTTCCTGAAGAAAGACATGGAGAAACGCATTCTTAATGTCAAGTTGGTGCAGAGGCCAGTCCGAGAGGCAGCAAGAGAGATGAGCAACCGGACAGAGGTAAGTTTGGCCACGGGAGAGAAAGTCTCAGAGTAATCGGTGCCATAAGTCTGAGCATAGCCTTTAGCCACAAGCCGAGCTTTAAGACGTGCCACAGAGCCATCAGGATTAACTTTAATAGTGAAGACCCACTTACATCCAATTGCCTTTTTGCCAACAGGTAAGTCCACTAAAGACCATGTGCATTATGATCAAGACCATGTGCCATTATGATCAAGGGCATTCATTTCCTCAATCATAGCAGCACGCCATCCAGGATGAGCCAAAGCAGTGCCAACAGATGTAGGAATAGAAATAGAGTCTAACTTGGCAATAAAAGAACTTGAAGAAGCAGACAGGTTGTCATAAGACACAACAGAAGCAATAGGGTAAGTGCAAGATCTTTTACCTTTGCGAAGCGCAACAGGAAGGTCATCAGGATATTTGGTTCGGGAACAGGGTCTTCCACCGGAGCAGCAGGCAAAGGACGTGAATCAGAATCTATGATGACCTCGCGATGTGATTGAGAACGTCGAGTATATGTCTGTGTAGTGGGTGGCCGAGTTATCTGAGGCGGAGGGGAAGGAGGCCTAATGAGAGTAACATATACCAAGAAGTTGTCTTCCTCTGGAGATGGAAGCTCTCTCGGGTAGGAAAAAATGGAAGGTGTTCATGAAAACTAACATCCCTAGACACGACATACCGACCAAGGACAGGAGAGAAACACCGATACCCTTTCTGCACCCTGGAATACCCAAGAAAAATACACTTGAGAGACTTAGGATCTAACTTAGTGATATGAGGTCGTGTATCCCGGACAAAACAAGTGCACCCAAAAATTTTAGGCGGTATAGGAATAATAGGTTTATCTGGGAAAAGAACTGAAAATGGAATTGAATTATCCAAGACAGCCGAGGGCATTCAATTAATTAAAAAACAAGCAGTGGACACAGCATCAACCCAAAAAGTTTTAGGAACATGCATGTGAATAAGTAATGCTCGAGCAACCTCGAGGAGGTGTCGATTTTTCCGTTCAGCAATCCCATTTTGAGCTGGTGTATCAACACACGACGTTTCATCCAAAATCCCATTTTCAAGCATATAAGACTGAAAAGGTGCAGATAAAAATTCTTTCGCATTATCACTTCGAAGTGTTTGAATGGTAGCAAGAAATTGAGTTTTAATTTCGGCACTAAAGGACAAAAAATGTTGAAAAACTTCAGACCGACTTTTCATAAAGTATATCCAAGTGACACGAGAAAAATCATCAATAAAAGTAACAAAATATCTAAAACTAGATTTTGATGACAGAGAACAAGGACCCCATACATCAGAATGAACCAACCTAAATGGGGTCGCAGCCCTCGTGTTTATTCTAGGAGATAAAGAACCGACAATGTTTAGCAAACTGACATGACTCACAAAATAAGGACGACAAACTTGAAAACTGAGGATCCAATCTTTTCAAACTTTGGAGGGAAGGATGACCAAGACGACAATGCGTATCTAGTGCGGAGGAGGAGGGGGTGCAAACAAGTGACTTAGATGTGGGAGAGTCGAAAACATAGAGGCCATCAGATTCACGTCCTTCACTAAGGATCTGCTTCGTTGAAAGATCCTGCACAATAAAATGGTTTAGAAAGAATGAGACGCTACAATTCAATGATTTAGTAAGTTTGCTAACAGAGAGTAGGTTAAAGGCAAAGTTTGGCAAGCTTAGTACAGAGTGTAACGAGATAGAAGGAGTAAGGCTAACTGAACCAGAACCAAGGACACGAGTAGTAGACCCGTCAACAATAGTGACATGAGAAGAAGGTGTACGGGGGTCAAGGGCGGAAAAAAGGTTTGGGTTACCTGTCATATCATATGATCTGATGCACCTGAATCAATGACCCATCTGGTGCCTTTAGATATGAGGCATGTAGTGGAATTACCTGACAGCAGCAGATGAAGAAGGTTTCTCTGTTGAAGTAAGTCGAGAATACTCCTCAGCAGAAATAGTGACCATGTCAGACGATGATGCAACATGAGCAGAGGGGCCCTTTTGATTCTTCTTTTCCAACTGAGGACACAAATACTTAGTGTGCCCAAATTCATGACAATAATAACACTCCACTTCGTCGGATTCGGGATTACGAGAGCCACGGTTTGTCGGACCTCCTCGAGTACCACCCCGAGAGCCCCCTCGAGAGCCTCGTCGAGATCCGCCACGAAAACCACCTTGGGAGCCTCCACGACTGATCATGGCACTATGTTGAGAAACATGAGTACCGAGAGCGGGAGACTGCATTTCCTCAGTACGAAGAAATCGGGAAAATGTCTCTTGGAGAGAAGGAATGACTGATTCGGAGAGAAGTTGATTCTTGAAAGCATCAAATTCTGGACGTAACCCAGTCACGAAGCTCATAACAGCAATTTGTTCCCGTTGCTTCTGCATTGCTTTGATATCGCTGCTTAACGGAAGGAGAGAGTTTAGTTCCTCATAAACCTTGTTAAACTCCATGACATATGTCGTAGCATTTTTATCCTGTTGCTCTCCTCTATGAAATGATTTGCAAACTGAATAAATACGAGAGATATTGGTACGTCCAGAGTATAAGAAGGTTAGATAATCAATCAATTCTTTGACAAATTCACAATGATTGACCAAAGAGAGAATATCAGGCTCAATGGAGTTTCGAATTTGAACGAGCAATTTTGCATCATCACGTAACCATGCCCGACGAGTATCATCTTTGACATCATCAGTGGGAGGATCCGAATCCAAGTGATCGTCCTTGTCAATGCTACGGAGGTGGACGATAATAGTTTTACTCCAACCAAGGAAATTAGAACCATTCAATTTAACATCGGTGATTTTGTTCATAATAGGGACGATTTCAGACACAATTTTATTCACAGCCATAAGAACAAGCCTGAGCAAATGAATCGATTTTATCAAAGGGCTGAAATTAAAAAATTCAACCTGCACACCAAGGAGTCACTGAAACCTGAAACTGAGAATACCGACGGAAAGGCTGGAAAATTCCGACCAGACGGACGTTCGCCGGAAAAATTCCGGCCAGGCACGCGCCGGCACGTGAAACAGACTGCAGCGGCTAACACGCGCGCGGAATCTGACGACGCTGCTTCACCGGATGGCCGGTCCGGCGATGACGAGTTCAAAGGTACAGGAGGTGAGACTCGAAACTCACCCGAAGTGTGTCTACTATGAACACCAACGAATTTTACTAAAAAAAAAAAAAAGAAATTCAAAAAACCCTAACTTTATTTTGTTTTGGCTCTAATGCCATGTAATGGTATTTGATATCTTCAACTCAATCAGGATTACAACATATATATACAAGCCAAAGGAGATGTAAGAAAGGAAAGCAATCAAAAACCTAATCTAAGAGATTTACCAAATCACCTAATTGATACTATCTAATCTATACCATATTTACGATAACAAAAATCAAACAAGCATATCATTGATGGATAGAGACATAGAAAAGGACTTTTGAACAATATCATGTATTCATATTTGCAATTTTTATCAACTGATATCATCCCTAAGTAATAATGGAGATGAGATTGAATGCGTGAAATTTGAAGTACATTGCATATTTGAAATACCAAACGAACAATAACCCATTCACATCTTCTTTGAGGAAGCTCATACAAAAATTATATTATACTATATGGACCTCGCAGTGCAGTTTGACTTACTGGGATTTGTCTTCTCAAGAATCGGACTTAATGTGCGCAACAATTTTCGGTCCACAAGTTCAGTTATCTCGGTTGGCAAGTTCTTGACTGATACAATTTTCGTGCTTTCTCTTTTATCATCTTGAATTTGGGGCATTTTAGCAATACAAGCAGGAGCCACCTTTCCCTCTGTCTGTAAGGAGACTTTTGTATCTCGTTTTCTAAGCTGACAACCGAACAATGCCCAATATTCAGTAAATTTGTAGACAAGAAAACAGAATGCCCGGATTTGCATTTCAAAGGAAGCATATTTTGTGTATAAAACGAATATTTCCCTATATGAACTACTCAAGAACTTGTGTATAAAACAGAATGCCCGGATTTGCATTCCAATGATTTGCATTTCAAAGGAAGTATTTGACTATTTGTACAATAACACATTCAAGTCTTTACTTTTTAGCTTTCAACTGTTTAGAAACACTATCAACCTCTAAATTTCATTGGAATTTTCGCATCAACTACAAGAAATCACATAGCGCAATCACTGCAAAAGCTACTCTTTCAGAATTAAAAAAATCACATTGCGCAACAAATATTAGTACCTCATTTTGACGTGTTACGTTAGTCACATCCTTAAGCACAGCCCTTTTCTTCAGACAGCCATCTAATCCCTCAGTCTTCTTGTCACTGCATGATGCTCTTTTTGTGCTTTTTCGCAAAACCTTGTCACCTGGTTTTTTTTCCAAAGGATGTAAAGCTTTTGCACGAGCTCGTGTGATTCGAATAGTGGGGTATGAGGACATGTTCTCCTTGTTCAAGACTGCACGCCTCATAGGATTACAGTTTGTAACAAAAAAAGTTCAAAGCAAACGAGTCTTCATAACCTGCTGCGATTTGAACAAGAATGCTGTGTTAGTACGAGTTTGATCTTCTATGAAATCTATATAGTCAATCGTGCTGAATAATCAAAGATAAATAAGTTTGATCTGGAATATCATAAGTTCAAAGGCAATTGTGCTATTCAAGAATCACCTAATTGAACTCGAAACTCTTGGTGATAAACATTAAAGTTCAATGTCAAAGAATAACACAGCTTAAAAAGAACCATTCTTTCACACCTTATCTTAAACAACACAAACTCAATAACTCAGCGGCACATTTTTTGCAAGATCATCACTCATCCGCTTCTAGTGAATAGTTAGAAAAGATAAACCAGAAAAATCACACAAACGATTGATTGAATCCATCAAGCTATAGATCAAGGATAAAATTAACGAATTAACTGAATCTAATAGCATTGGATAGATTCATTTGTAAAGGATCTGCATCAGTACTTTGCAGTGTGCTTCAAAGGCTTCAACTTGTTCTTACTTCATGACTATCTTGAAAAAAACATTTAGAATTTTTAGTATCCAGTCACAACCCAAATATTTCGACTAGGATATGTATCATTATTTTCTTTCTTTTCGTTCTTTTTCTTCTTATTATTCAGCAAAACTGAGTAAAATCGAGCTATTCCTCAGCTTTTAATCACTCAATCTGATTCTCAAATTTCGAATTTTCAAATTCAAGCAAACCAAATACAAACTCCTAATAAAGTGCTGATAAAAAAGAGAAGTCCCAGATTCAGATCACAGCATTGTTTGGATTCATGATTCGACTAGATTTCTCGATAGATTCCAACTATACCACCTTCGACTGTGTCGATCCACAAACATCTTAAAGTTATCCAAGAATATCAGTACTTTCCAAAAACAAACCTTCTTGAAATCATTGTATTGAAGTTAATTCCAGAATTGTTTCATTGTTTCAAGATGATAAAACAATTCCAGAATCGAATCATTGTCTCAAAAATCTGTGTAGAACCATCTTAAACATAAAAAACAAGCTCAAACAACACAAAATAAAGATAATTTTTTTTAAAATGAAATTAGAAGGACTCCACAATTTATACATTATTTCCACAAACAGAATACACACACACACACAACTCAAGTTCAACAACCTAGAAAACAAAAATCAAGAAAATGCCCAGAAAAAAATAAAAATCAAGAAAATGCCGATAATGTGTGAACCCGTATACCAAACAGAAACGTAGAACAAAAGAACAAGAAGAAAAAAGATAAATCAAAACAACATGAAAAACAATAAAGAAACGAAATGGGACTCGAGCTCACTCTAAAAGGTTTATCGAGCTTAGGGTTTAGATTCAAACCAACCAAACGTCAACTTCTTGTCTGTAGATAAGAGAGGTGAGTATAAGAGAGTGTTGGCTGATGGGCATGTCAGGAAAATGCACACACATATATATACATAGATAGAGAGACATGAGAGCGAGCGGGATGGAACAAGTTCAAAACTTGTGAGAATCCAAAAATGAAATCCTCTGTCTCCATTAGTCCATTTCGGATTTTTTTTCCTTCGTATTTGGTTTTTGGCCTCAAGATAAAAAATTTTTGATGCATTTAATTTGTAGGCATTATGGGTTTCTTTTTTATTTAATAATCACTACAGAGTTGTTAAACGAAATAAGTCGTTCGTGAATTCGACTTGGCTCGACTAATTTAATAAATGTGCAAAGCTATATTCATTGAAGTTAACTATGGAGTTTGTAAAGTTCCGAAAAAAAGAATTTTTATATAGGGAAATTGTACAATCCCGTGAGAGAATGGTTTCATCAAATCAATATAAACCATTAAATCTTTTATTTTATATGGACACTTAAATGTAATAAAATAAAAGTGAGTGACAGTTTTTTATTTGAGTTTGATGTAAGGGGATGGTTCATTTACGGGATCGTAGCATTTTCTTTTTATATAATATTTTACAGTTTAGTTTGTTAAGACTCGAGTTCAACTCGTTAATATTAGAGGCTCGAGCTCAAACTATAGTATTATGAGCTCGAGTTCAACTCAGGCTCGATTGCATTTTATTACAAATACACTAGGAATTATGCAATACAAGACATTNGGGAACGAAGGAATATGGACACGTATTGATTATCAGAGTTGATCTCCCGACTTTTCAAGCACTGGTTGGAAATTCAGCTGACAAAGATTTTGCCTTTTTTTCCCCCTTTGAAAATAGGAAACATTTAAAATTCTTTTGTAAAGTGAAAAAAAAAATGTAAAACATTTTATTTATCTTGTTTTACTAATTAGTTTTGTAGTATATAATAGGTGATTGAATTAACAAATAACGGATGATTAATATCTAAGTGAATTCATAGCGGACACATTAGTAGTGTTGGCTTGTTGAATGTATTAGATGATCATACAAAATGTTTTGGAAAATAACCAGATGTTTAATATGTGAAAACTAACTAATTTTACAATTATATATTCCAACAGAACTTTTGTATTGAGTTTTTCTTGAAATTATGCTTCTGAATCAAACAACTCATAACTACGATTTAGCCCAAAATTTGTTTACAAAACAAGACATTTGGATTGGATATCATGAAGGGTGAATTAAAATCAGGGGGTTTCAGTCAAAGTTTATAATGCTATATAAATTTTCTATATCTAAGTTGATGCTTTCCTTAATTAGGTTTAAATTTAATTGTATTCCATAATCAGTATCACAAGTGTTTGAATAACAATTATTGCTATATTATTATTACTTACACGATCTACTCAAAAACGAGATACGTTCAAGTTCTAAAAAAATATAAATTGAAATGTTTTTTTTTTTNGAATTTCTTATTAACAGAACACAATGTTTGAGTACAATGCCAGAATCAATCTAAAGCCGAAATGAGGGAGAACCACTCGCAGGTGGCCTAAAGAAACATACGAAACATCAAAGGAACTTAAGCAGTTATAACATCAACTGAGAACTTAAGCTCCATGAGGTAATATGAATAGCCAAAAAATACAGAGAAAGAAAACATCAAGAAGACTTCCACTGATCATAAGACCCTAGACCATCTTGCTTGTTATCTTCTTTTCTCCAAGAAAGTTTGCTGATTAGCCTCCTCAAACTCCTCCCAATCATGTATAGCTGCAGCAACAATGAGGTGGGCCGGCCTTGATGAACCTTCAAATATCCAAAGATTCCTGGATTTCCAGAGCCACCATAATATGTATGTGGAGAGTTGTATTCTGGCTTCTGAGATATCCCTATGATTGAGGTTAGAAATGTGCCACCACCAATCCTTCATGGTTTCCAGGCCTTTAGGTCCTTCCCATTGAACAGGAGATAGTTTCCAAACAAGTTGTGCCTTAGAACAAAAAAAGAATACATGTTCGATAGATTCTTCAGCTAAACCACAAACTTTGCAAACAGGATCAACATCCATTCCTCTCTTCAATAGAGTAAGACCCACAGGTAGGATACCAGATATGCATTTCCAGACAAAATGTTTGATTTTGCTTTTAACTTTAAGTTTCCAGATTCTGTTTCTTACCTGTTGATCCTTCATGAAGGCATGACTGCTTTGTGCTCTTTCCATGCTCAGAATTTTTTGATGTATGAGAGCTGAGTAAGCACTGGAGACAGAGAATGAGTTTTTCCTGTCCTTAGTCCATATCCACATATCTTCAGCATCAGGATTGATTGTGTGGATTTTCATTATTGCTTCACAATCAGAAGGTGAAAAATTCTGTCTAAGAATGTGTTCATCCCAATCAGTGCCATCTGGTAACATAAGGTCATTTACCCAAACTAAATCTTTTCCTGCTCCTGGTTGAAAGGTCAATCTTCTCCCATTCAGGTCAGGAACCCAGAAGTCATCCACTATTCTGGTACTTTTACCATTTCTTATAACAGCCAACATCCATTTGCCACAACTGTCTCTAACTTTCAACCAATTTTGCCACAGCCATGAAGCATTATTCTTCCTCTGGGCAGCAAAGATAGAGTGATCAGGAAAATATTTGGATTTGAGAATTCTACTTACCAGAATGTTTGGTTGTGTCAGAAGTCTCCATATTTGTTTGGCAATGAGAGCTTCATTGAATAGTTGGATGTCCTGAAATCCTAATCCACCTTGTGATTTGGGTAGAGTCAGATGATCCCATGCTTTCCAGTGAATACCTTTGCCCAGATTGTCTCCCTTACTCCACCAGAACTCTGCACAGACACTAGCAATTTCTTTGCACAGGCTTTTAGGAAGCACAAAGCAGGACATAGAAAAAACTGGAAGTGCATTGACTACAGCTTTGATGAGAACCTCTCTTCCAGCTGAGGATAGCCATTTATTTTTCCAGCTATGTATTCTGTTTCTTACTACTTGTAGGACATAGGAAAAAGCCTCCCTTTTTGACTTACCAATCCCCAATGGCAAGCCCAGGTATTTGGATGAGAGATGCACTTTGATGCCTTGAAGCAACTGACAACATATATTCTGCACTTGGGTTGGTGTATTTTTACTGAAAAAAATGGTAGACTTCTCAAAGTTGACCTGCTGCCCAGTGAAATGATAGTAGTCATTTAACGGCTTGGACAAACAAGTGTTTTGTTCTCGGTAGATTTCTTGTTAGGCCAGTAAGTCGACATTCTTTTAATACAATTCATTGAAAAAACAACATAAATAAAATTATGACAATTAATAATGTAAATATGCATTTTTGTTTATATTGTATGATGGGTCGACTTGTCTAACCATTAGACTGCCTAATTTGTGGTTTGTCAATCCACCTAATATAATGACTTCATACTTTTTATGTGAACTAGTGCGTGGCCCGTGCGATGCACGAGAAAATAATATTACGATTATATTAGAAATTAAATATATAATATCATTAATTATAAATTAAATATATAATATCATTAATTATGATTTACCCATTGTTTTTAAATTAAACCAGGTTGGACTCAGTCCTACCGGATGGACCGAGAACCGGGTTATAAACAGTGTAGTTCGCTTGAATAAAATATTTACTATTGTCAACATCAGTCGGTTGGACTGGTAGGATCGTTACGATTTTCTAAATAAATTTTCTTACATTTAAAATTATTTTAAATAAAATTACATATTTAAATAAAATAGAGATTTATAAATTGTTTATCAATTAGTTTTAACATTTGAATTTATGAATTGTTTAGATATTTAAGTAACACATTTTATTAAAAGTTATTACAAAAAGTACTCTCTCTCTCTATATATATCTATTAAAATGTATATCTATTGATATTAAAATGTTTATAAATTAAAATATGAACAAACTACAAATGATTTAATAGAATAACTTGATTGTTTCGATGATGGTTCAATTCTGAAAACCATATTCACTGTATATTAATAAAAATTATAGTAAAATATTATTTTATTCACATAAATATTAATAAAATGATATACAAATATTCATTAATCATTAAACATGTTGTCATATAAACGTATTGTTAATATGATTATTTGAAGTTTGAGGAATATTAAAAATTGAAATGAATTAATAAATAAATATTGTTGTCATATTCACATGATAATTCTTATTAAAACTTGAAATGTATTAACAGGCTTTAAAAAATGGTTAACATGCTGTTACATGTTGAAAAATTTATGAACAAAGCCTCATAAATTGAAAAATCTTGTTAACATGTTGTCAATTTTTAATGAACAAAGTCTGTTGCCATTTCAATTTTTAAGTGAAAATCACGTATCTATATAACAAAGCATGTTAATCACTCTTTTAATATATTGTTAATATGATTATTAGGGAAAAAAAAGTTACTAAAAATGGTAGGTAATTAATGTTGACTGAAATTTGACTTTATATTTTTAAAAAATGGTAATTCTTATTATTATTATTATATATATAGATAGATATCAACAATCCAACACACCTATTTGTGTAACTATGGTTATTTTTCATTTAGTTCGCATATCCATATTTGTATTATTTTGATAAGTATTTATTAAGAAATAATGCATTTATAATGAAATGTAATCAATTTTATACAATTTTAATCAATTCATTGAAAAATGCTCTCTACCTCCAGCTGTTTTCTTTGTCTACTGTCTCACACACCAACATATTGATTTTGGGGAGCATGTTTTGCACTGTCACGATTTTATTATGTTTGTTCAAGGTTCTCCAACACCAATTCATTTTTTTTTTTTTAATTACTGATATTATATGCTTATTTATTTTACTACACTTATTTTATCCAATTTTATTTTACGAAATGGAAGTTTGATGACCACTCAATTAGATAACACAAATATACTTTTCTTTTTAATTAAATAATATGACTAATCAACTCATCTATGGTTAGTCCACCCAATATCAACATTTGCATTATTGTTTATTGAAAACATCATATCCTATTAGTAGAGCTTTTGAACAAAATGAGGGGTTCGTGAACTCGACTCAGATTGGCTCGTTTGATTTAGTTTAAAGCTCTAACAAGCCAAGCCCTATCATACAAGTAGAGCCGTTAAACGAAACGAAATGCTCGTCAGTTGTGCTCAACTCGTTTGAGCTAATTTAGTCAATGAGGCAAGCCAAAAGCTCGAAAATGAAGTTTTTTTTATGTAATTTTATATAACCCATCTTGTTAATGCTCAAATGCAGCTCGTTAAAGCTCATTTATCAACTTGTTTAGTTAACAAACTCAACTCGACTTGGGTCAATAAAAAGTCCATTCCGAGCTTTTGTTAATGTTCATTTATCAACTTGTTTAGTTAACAAACTCAACTCGACTTGGGTCAATAAGGGGTCCATTCCGAGCTTTTGCTTGACTCGTTTATGTCTCTACCTACTAATTTATGAATAAAGATGTTAACAAACTCAACTCGACAGTCACGGATGGCTAGGGGCCCATATAGCAATTCACATTCACTCACCATTATTTCTTTTTGTATTTTAATAGGTAATAAAAATATAATTTTGGCATGACAGTGATTGAAATGGCTCAACTATCTTACAAATACATACATTTTTTACGTGCAAGACCTCAAAATATGAAAATAAATCATCACAATCAAAGGATGAACAATAATATTACAGATCATTTTCCTTCTCAATAAGCAAAATGAAGCTGAAGGTACGTAATAGAGTTTCAAATAATTAAATGAGGCTATTTAACAAATTAATAGCAAGAAGTTATTGATTTTGTTATAATAAATGTTTTCTAACCAATATTCATAAATTACCAAACTCATTCAAAGTAGCTCTAATCATTTCTTCCATTGGGGCAACCTTTGGACAACCACCTACATAAAAACTTACCAAAGTTAAAACTTTAATTATTGTAATCATGAAAGAGTGATAAAAATGAATGCATAAAGCCAGAGTAGGTTCTAAGTTCTAAGTTCTAACCTTTTTTTTCTCTTTAATGAATAAATATATAGTATTATTTCACTCTCGTTCGGTTTTTAAATCAAGAAAGTCCTCATGCCAACGCTCATCATTACACTCATTTTTTTTTCTATTTCAAGAAAGCTTCTCATTTTGGAGTAAATCGCGGAGAACAGTCGAATGTTTAGGTTGCACGAAAAAACGTAACAACATTTATTCAAATGGGGAATTTCCACCTCAATGCTCAACGATTAAAAACAATAACCCGCAATAGAAGATTATAACTTGAATTTGCTAGCATTGATTTCAAGTTTCAGTCTCGATTTCACAAATACAAAGAGAACATAACGCCATACATGTGAACATAACTTCCAAATAGCATACCTTTCCTGAGTTTTCCTTATTCCCGACTATAGTTTGGCAGGCTAGCCTCCAAGATTCTGGTTTCTATATAAAGGGAAAAAGAAAATTAAAATCCTTATAAACGGTTAAGAGCTCTTGAATTCAAGATCACATCTAAACTGTATGAAACAACAGTAACAACATGCCTTTTTCAGATATCGAAGCTCTGTGTTTGTTCTCTCGTTCAGAAGATCCTTTCCATCAATGATCTGCACGGCATGAAAAGCATACGCTAATCATAAGTCGATGTGGATTCCATTATCCGTATTCCGAAAACATCAATAATGTGTTGAAAATATTTATTTGTGATTAAAAAACGAGAAATTTTGAAGAAAAAGGGTGCAACTGTTCATTTGAAACGATTCAGATGAAGCTGTTTGTATGAACAGTTAAGTTTATTTGTTTCGAACAGATCTCCATGCTTGATATGTCATGGAAACAGCATAACCGATAATATATATGATGATTCAACACTTTATGCATCATCCAAACAATGGTTTCGAATTTTCGATAATACTAAAAATTTTAAACGAGAAGCTTCTTGTTTTACCTCCACTATACAAGTTCCGCAACTCCCACCTCCTCCGCAGTTCATTACCTTCCCCTGTCAGCAAAACCAACAAAAACATAGAAAAATGAAAAAATAAATAAAAATAAAATGGCCACGAATCATTTCTTCAATCGACATGATGAACACCGGTACGAAACAATTACTTTTGTTTGAAAAACTAACTATTGAAACTAATAAGCTAAAACTAGATCACTAATAATTTCTTGAAGACAAGCCGATTACTTGCAGCCGATTTGCAACTCCACCCCATCCAAACACCAAGAGTAGTAATATTCATTCAATACAAGCAGAAATTATGAACAACTACGCACACCAAAAACAAATACACATATGTAACAAATATGAGCATTCAAACTTACAAAAGCAGCATAGAGCTCAATTTTGTTATCCAACATAATGTTCCTCAGCAGCTTCTCTCCACTCACAGCTTTTGCATTGTTCACTTCGTCTCCAGGTTTGGGCTATCGCCCAATCCGCAAAATGAACAGAACCCAAGAAAAAAATGTCAAATTTGATAGTGAACTTACGAATTAATTAGGTTAAAATTACTTCATCACCGAGCAGGCAACCAACGAGATAGCAATTTAACAACAATTTCAATCCAATGATTCTATAAATTACTCAATCAGCGGTAGTACCCCAATGAATTCCATCTCAATTTGTGGCTTTTCCGGCGGCGCGGTGGAGGTTTCGGAAGAGGAATCGCCGGCGAAGGTAACGGAAAGGGGTTTCCTTCTAGGGAGCGACGCGGCGGAGCGGCGGCGTCTAGAGGAGAAGAGTTCCAGCGGAGTGAATGGTGCAGAGGAGAGGCTCATGGCGGCCATGGTTTCTCCGAGAATGGCACGCAGACACGTACGCGAATTTGCTGCTGTGCCATTGTTAGAGATGCTGAGAGCTATCTGGTGTTTTTTCGGCTTCACGGGCTCGTGTGGTCTGAGTTATTTTTTTATTTTTTATTTTTATTTTTTTTTAAAAAAAAAATAAATTTGTATTTCAGAATTTACACAGTGATNTGTCTGCTCAATCTTTATCTTATTAAATTAAAAATTATTTGTAAAAAATATAAAAACTATTTTTCATCCTCTCATAAAATTTATAACTATTAATCTCATCAACAAATAAGCTTATTATTTTAAATCACATCAGTATGAGTTATTATATCTATACTTATATAAAAAGATATCATATTTAATAGAAATAGTAGGCAGAAAAGTCAAAGGTAATTAATGTTTGCTGGAAATAGAATGACATTAATTACATATTTGTTTTGGTATTTATAGGTTTGACATTAAAGATTTGTTATGGGATAAAAATCAAAATCAATTTTTTTACCTTTGCTGGAAAAGTCAAAGGTAAGTATAGATTTGTTTATATTATCAAATTATAAAAAGATATTAAATACATATTGTAAAAAATAATAATTCATATAAATTTATAACAATTTTACTACACTATTTAACAGTATTTTTTTTTTATTATATAATAAAATAATAATTAAATATTATATGGTGAACAAAAATAAATAAAATTGTTATTTTCTCTTATATCAAGGGATAAATTTATATGCTAAAATTAGATTTTTATTAGCATAAATATTTTAGTTATATAATATATTAATTATTTTACAAGTTAGCCCTAACATGCTCATATTTAATGTTCTGGCTAAAATAACAACACTGGTTAAAAGATGTGAAAAAAAACTCATATTTTTTAGACTCAAACGGACAAGGCTGTGAAAATAACTCATTTAATATATATGTTCCGTGCATCGCACGGGGTACGTACTAGTATATATATATAGGGGATGATCCAATGAGACCACTCCTTAAAATGAGTACGTGAGACTCAATCTTAGCCACTCATTTTGTCTAGATCAAAATCAATTAAAATATACATTAATTAAATAATAAAATAATTATTAGTTGACTCCGGCGTTGACCGTTGACTCCGGTGTTGACCGTTGACTTCCGGCGAGAATCATTGACTTCCGGCGTTGACCCGTTGCATTGAAATAAATAACCTAGCAACAAAAAACACTCAACCTTGAGTGGTGTAGCGGTTGCATTGCTTGTCTTGCTTCCATGAGGTACCAGGTTCAAATCCTATGGGTTACAATTTTTTTATTAAAAAAAAATACAACTAACTTAGCAACATCAGACAACTAACTTAGCAACAAAACACAACTAATTTATAAAAAAAAATACAACTAACTAACCTAGCATACAATTTTTTTATTAAAAAAAAATACAACTAACTTAGCAACATCAGACAACTAACCTAGCAACAAAACACAACTAATTTATAAAAAAAAATACAACTAACTAACCTAGCAACAAAACACAACTAACTTAGCAGCATCAGACAACTAACCTAGCAACAAAACACAACTAAC